CTCTGCTTTTGCAGCTTTGAATTGTTCCAAAGTGGAGCAAACAAAAGCCATCTTCTGAACAATCTTTAAAAAACTCCGAACTTCAAGTTGCATTTCAGGATCTATTGGATTGTAGTTTGAGTTAGTAAAAAATACATTGAAGCCGGCTGGCATAATAGCTTACTGTTTGCTTTTACTTTCGATGTTAAATTTTTTTTAAACCGAAGAAGAAAATTACGTTGAATATGTATCCAACAAAGGATCTGCTTACTGTTAGAAAAAACAATTTTTATGGCTTTTAACAAAGCCTCTTCGTTATCGGTAACGAAACACTTGGGTAACAAATTTTTATTTGTGTCAATAGACCACACTATATCTCTAAAACATTGTAGAGCCTGTGGAGAAACTTTGTTTAACACAGAAAAAAATAGATAAAAAACAGGTAAATAAGATTAATAGTGCTTGTAGGCTTTTATTCTTATTATTAGTTTTAAAACTGAATGACCTTCTACATTATGGTTGAAGGCAGGGTATTTATAGTTATTGGGATCTGTAGTTTAAACGGTTATCTAATAGTTAGTGAAGGTACCATTGGGTGGTATAATACATGTCCGATGGTGCCTTAAATTTAAGCAGTCATTGCCTTTATGATTGGATTGATTCGTAAACAATGAGCTAGTCTTATTGTTCTGTCAGAATTGAGAGGACGATGGTTCTAAGAAATCTTAAGTCAAACTGAGTTCTAAAGTAGTAACTCAGTTTTTATACCTGATGTTCTTTTCTTTTGTGATATTGTATTTGGTATATGAGTCGACCATGTGGGATCGACGATTTATTTATTTTATTTTATTATTTATAAGTGCGATTTTAGCACAGAGCCCATTGGTATCTCTCCGCTGTTTCTTTGTCCATCCAACAGCCGGCAATAGGAACGGTTGTTAGCTGTTTTGGCTTTTCTTTCGACCGCAAAGCACCGGCAACAACGAAATTTAATTAGACCATCTTATGTGCATTTGTCTTATAAGCAGCATGAATAATTATGCACTCTGGCAGTCTACGAGCTTCTTCGATGCCGTGTTCATGGATGAAAAAAATTGATTGTATTCTATTGTCTTCATTTGTCAAATATCTAACATGATGATTTGTCGTTTCCAAGCGTCTTATAAAATCCCACATAAAGATGCTATCATCTCTGCAGAATCATTGTTGAATGTTCGTGAGATCTCTAACAGTAACATTACAAACGTCTCTTGTTCTCAACATCTATAGACAAAATAGCAATTTAACATTTTGTATTCAACTGCAAGTATCGTCTTATTTTGTAAGTTGTTCTACGGTACGTATAATATTTCTTTATTTAAACTAAAAGAGATCACAAACAATAATAACTCCTTACAAAACCTACTATTTATTTTTAAATCCCTTACCTCCAAGACTGCACTGGGAGTGCTTCCACTTTGCATCATCTTGATCGCAAATTCCTGGTCATCAGCTTCCAGTTTTCTATTAACGTGGTACATCTTGCGGTTATTGCTGACAGGATGCGTATGCTCAAAGCACGTCTTACTCACAAACCAGCGATTCTCCACGTCCTTCAAATCCATCTTTAGGTGAATGAAGGCCGTACACCCAACCTTACCTGTCTTTCGGTTGGGTCTCTTGAGTCCACCCTCATCATCATTGCCGTCTTCAATTTTTCACTTTGTTAGTATAATTATAAGATCACTGAAGTCGAAAAATACATACTTTCTACACCTCTGGTGCTGCGATAATCTCCAAAGTGTTTGCATACAAGTTTGATATACACTTTATCACTTCTCAAAGTTTCAAAGGGATGTTTTGAGCCTTGCAAAACTCTTGAATTTGCGCTCTTGCAGAATTCTTATCCGCAAATGTCTTCTTTTTTGGGAACTCTTTCTCGAAATCCTCCTTCAAGCCAACAACAGCTACACTGCTACCAATAGTTTTTACGAAAGATGGGACTGGAGAATCAGTGTCATAGCTTCCTTCTTGACCAGCATCTACTTTTTCTTCTTCAACATTACTGACCGTGCTCCAGTCAAACTCGTCCATAAGACCTGTTTTAACAGGAGCGTCTTCGCGTTCTTCCTTACTAACATTGGTAGACATTTCTTCAAAGCCATCGTTAATGTTCTCCTCATCGTTATACTCGGAAAGAAGTGCTTGAATAAGCAGTTCAGTTTCGTTCAACATTTCTTCGGTCATTTCAGTCATTGTGAAATCGTGTTTAATAATAAAAAAAGAAAAAAAAAACGGTGTCCGTAAAAAAAACGGTGTCCCTGAAAATATTTTACAGTCAAAAAAAAAAAAAAAAAAAAGTCCGGCCCGGAAAAAAAACGGTGTCCCTAATTATTTTTACACCAAAAAAAACGGTGTCCGTATAATTACCCAAAAAAAAAAAGAAGAGAAAAAAAGAAGAAAAAAAAAGAGACGAAGAAAAAAGAGGAGAAAAAAAGAGATGAAAAAAAAAAAAAAAAAAAAAAAAAAGGGAAAAGAAAAAAGAAAGAAAAAAAAAAAGTAGATTCTAATTTTATTTGAATGAGCAAAAAAAAAAAAAAAAAAAGAAGAAAAAACAAAGCCTAATTCGTTTAAGATGAGCTGAATAGAGACAATACAAATGAAAAAAGACACATATTTATTAGGCCTAATTGTCTGTGCGCAAACAACAATGAATGAGAAAACTAAAATGAAAGTAAACAATAACAAAAGGCATCGGTTCTCGATGAAGATATATTTGTCCGTGCACGCAAAAAGCTACTGCTATCTTCAATTAATTTGACTCTTTCACTTCTCTTAAAAAAGATGTGTGTAAAATATCTTGCGGGTGTTATAACTTTTAAACTATTACCTTTGCCTTGATCCCAAATACTTATCCACAAAGGTTTTACTAAAAACCGCGTCTGGATACGAAAAGCCGTATGCATTAACAAAGAAAAAGAAAAAAGATTTCGAAAGGACACACAATAAACTTGTCACAGTAAAAAAAAAAATATTTAAGCCTTTCGTCTTTCTTTTTTTTATTCCATCTCTTTCTCTCCCTTTCTTTCACTTTCTTTGTATTTTCCTTTTTTTATAGAAAAAAAAAACATTTTTTTTCTGTAAGTACTATTCTTTTATTTTAGAAGAGCTAATATGTCAGCTAACATTACTCTTATATGGTGTTCAATTAAAAGAGGTAACCAGCCCAGGCCTACATATGACTCTATGACCCTATAGTAAGAATCTTAAAAAATGCCACGGCTCTCATTCGGAACTAATCGTCCTCCTGTCTCTATTTTTTCTATGACAGTTCTCGTTTCCTCTACATTGACATAGCGCATTGTATCCTTTCTCTTAGCTTTAATCCCCTTTGAAAGCTGTCTCTTAACAATAACAGGCTTTCTTTTTACTTGCTCCATTACTCTGGAATCCTTTTTTTTTAAAAATTAAAAAAATCGGTAACATAAGCCCTCCTTCTGAAACTTGTCGAAGACTGACAATCATCTTTCATAGATGTCTACAAGACTCTGGTTACTACTGGCTTTTTGGCACAGCTGACTTACTTATCGTTGCCTAATGAACCACGACAAGAAAAGGTAATGTCAACATGAGAATGGGTAAAAATAAAAACCTAATTATGAACACAGGTTTCAGCTTACCAAGACTTTAACTATAATGATCCCAACAATGCTCTCCCTTTCGCAACATGTTATCGGTAAATTATACATAGCTTGCTTTTTGACTATCATATCAATTGTTTCTTATTAGATGCTTACTTGTTCCTGCTGCCATCTTAATTTTCGCCTACTTAATGACCGTAAAACTGATTCTTTTGACTCCTTTTTGACTTTATTCAGCGTACAATTTACACGATACTGTCTCGCTAACCTAACATATTGTCTTAAAAATAGATTTCCAAGCTATGCCCCAACCTCAAGCCCCCTTTTGCATTCTGCTCAAATATCAACGTTTTCAAAAACAATACGCACTGGCTGACAAAAATAATAAACGTACGCTCCCCTTAGGACTGCTCGTTTTTTAGTCGTCTTGCTAATGCTCGGTCTCGCTTTCTCACTGCACCAATACTATCTTAAGTAAAATAACTACGTAACGCTGCTTTCTACTTGTTTATTGTATTTAACGTTAACCACATGGTTATAAAACTATATATACTCTTTTACTTCCCCTGCTGACTATAGCACCCCAAACAAGTACACGGTGAGGTAAGTTTTATAATTTGGAATGTGTAAATAGATCTAGTGGGTATACTTTTTTTTTTACAAAATAAAAACATTTTCATCGCATCAATCCGATAATTTAATCCAATGATTGTACAGCATATCTGAATAGATGCTATAATTAATCCAGTAAAAAAAAGAAATTCATCATCATCTTGATTATTAGAGCAAATGATGTACGATCTTATATAAGATATGACGAATATCAGGTCAGTAGTACAAAAGCTATATTATGAATCATCAAAGAAGCAGCCAGTATCATGTCCCCATCTATAAAATTTAGTCCAATGAAATCATGCTATATATCCAGGTTTTAAGATAATTAATCCGTTAAGGGCGGTACAGTCGTTAAAATAATACATTCAAAAAGATGTTACATTCTTTAAGATAATTAATGCAAAAGGACGGTACAGGTACTACCATAATTGACCAGCTACAACCGGAGTTCCAGGTATATGTATATTTACCGGAGTCAGGGTATGATCCATCAATTTGAGTATTTAACCACTCAAAACTGGTCTTACCTGTATGTAAAAAAGTACGAGTGTCTGTAGTTTTTTTTGTCCTGTCCTTTAATTTTTCTATAAATTCGTTATATTTACAAAAAAATTTAAACTGCCGTTATTGGCTAAAAAAATGAAGACGTCATCATTCTCCCTGGCGCAGTCGTTTTTTTTTATAAATTTTTTTTCTTCACTTTCACTTTTTTTCTTTCTTTAAAACTGCAAACATTGTAAAATGCTAGGAATCAGTTTTTTTGACGAGTAAATATGAAAAAGAAGAATGATTAAGAGTATGAACACCCTTCTAATGTCGTTAATGTTTAGGTTTTTCAGTAAATTAGCTGATCTTGCCTTCCTGTTGTTGTGGTTTTTTTGGTGTTTGGCAAACTTCGCTTTTTTTTTCCTTCGGGAGAAAATAACTAGTTTCTTTTCGTCTCCTTGGCTTGTTGTGGGCAATAAAATTGTCAAGATTGACAATGTCTGTGTCCGTTGGGGTGATGATGATGCCTTGATTGCTCACATCAGATGTCTCGCGGTTGAGCGTTCGTCTTCTCGCGTTTGTGCTCCTCCTGTCGTTTCCGTGTCTCGTCCGGATGTTGTTTCTTCCCCTGTCGTTCAGGATACGAAACTTCTTCTCCCCTTGGCTTCTCCTTCCCTCTTGCAAAAAACAGGGTTCGGCTGCTACAGCCTTGATTGCGTTTGTGTTCTCGGTTCCCCCTGTCTTGCTCCTGGCGTTGCGCCTTCTCCCCGCCCACCTCACCACCCTAAATCCCATGTTCCTGGCTTTGCTTTAGTTTGTGAAGCTATAAGCCAGGCATGGGTACAAGAGTACGCTGCGCTTCTTGTTTCTTCTGCGGTTTCTTCCCCAATTGGGGATAACGCACATTTCGCGGTTTCTTCCCCCTCTGGGGATAACGCGATCCCAGCGGTTTCTTCCCCGTCTGGGGATAACGCTGGGAACTCGGTTGGTGTTGCGGCTTCTGTCGTTGTTCCGAGTCCTCTCGGCCCTTTCACTTCTTCGTCTGTTCTCGCGGGATCTCCTGCCACTGCTGGTGTTCCCTCCCCGGGTTTTTCTTCTTTTGGTTTGTCGTCTGTTGGTTTGTCGACTCCGGTGTTGTTGTCTCCTGCTTTGGGATCTGCAGCTCTGCCTTCTGTCGGATGCTTGTCTGCTGGTTCTTCTTCTGCCGGTTTTTCGTCTGCTGGTTCGTCTTTTGCTGGTTTGTCGTCTGCCGGTTTGTCCCCTGCGGCTTCGCTTTCCTCTGGTCTGCCTTCTCCCCGTCTGGCTTCTGCTAGTGTTCTTTCGACTTCTTTGTCTTCTCCCGGTTTGGACACTTGTGGTTTTCCCACTGCCGGTTTGAGCTCTCCTGGTTCGGCCTCTGCTGGTTCTGCCTCTGCTGCAGCTGCCTCTGATGGTTCTGCCTCTGCTGGTTCGCCCTCTGTTGGTTCTTCCTGTGCTGGTTCGCCCCCTGTTGGTGTACCTTCTCCGCTTCCTTCTCCGTTCTTCCGCGGGGCTTTCGCTTCTCCGGAGTTACTTCCTCTTCCGTCTGTTCTCTCTCGCCTTCCGCCATTAGAGGATGATGTTTTAGGCGGTAAACGCAAAACTCCCTCTCCTTCCCCCGCCACATCTCCACGGGTAAAACCCGTATCCTCTCCCTCCCATCAACCATCTTCTCCTCCTGGAGAAACCACATCTTTTGTGGTAGATTATTCTGGTGTGTTGACCCCTCCTCGCGTGATTGCCAAACCCAGGCTCTCACGCCCAAACAAACCAAAACAACAGGGGGAATCGAAGTTGCTCTTTTCTCTTGGTAAGTAACATTAGAAATCGTGGTCTTTATTCTTTCTGCTAACAAATATACAATTTTTATTATCTAGAAGAGGAAAATGATTGTGGGCCCGGGGAGCCAGATACAAAGAGATTCCGCTCGCGGGAATTGTAGTTCCTTTTTTTTTTTTAAAAAAAAAAAAACAAAATTATTAAAATATTATTAAAACATTTCACAACGTCTTTTGCGTTCCATTAATTTGCATGTTTTTGTAAACGAAATTAAAAAGGGTCCTTTGGTATTCTCTCTTTGGGTATGGTCCATATTGTTGAGGATGTTTTAGATTATGATAAAAGAATCATCACATTTACATAATTATGGATGATCATGTATAAATATTCATGGCTCACACTTCGCCCCATTTGTTATCATCAGAACAGTTGGTGTCTGTGCACAAGGTGATTTGCCTTGTGACGAGTAAAAGTGTTATAATACCATAAAAGTATAGTACAATCCCATAGGCGGAATATTCGGTTACTGAATATTACACGCACTAAACTTTCTCTTTGGCATTTACGTAATGTCACCTCCGGAGATGAATTTAGATCCTCACGTACTTTTATCTTTACTTTGTAAGGCAGGAATTACTTCATAACATATTTATTTAAACAGACATTACCTATAACATTATATCATATTCCTCTAACGCGTCACATATATTATCCGAAAGCCATCTAATCATTTAGTATAAATACCTGTAGTTTTTGCTAGTAGAATTCCCTAATCTAAATTTTCTCGAAATAAAAGATATACACAGTTCTAACAGTATTTTCTTTTGTTACCTTAATTTACATTTTTTTCTCCATCCCAAACACACATAATCCATCCGCGATAACGGACGGTAAAGTTCTCAAATTTAGGCGAAGCAAAAATGGTGATACCTTTCCCTACTATGATGTGTTATAGGTATGAGATTGTAATACGTAAAACAGAAGTTGTATCTGCAATAATTCCTTTGAACCTTTATCGACGTGTATTAAAATCAGCTTAAAAAAATGGTAATGGTCGATGTTTCATTTTTAGATTTAGATAAATTTTTTAACAATATTTTGATATGGACTTCCCTTGAGGAAGGATATTCAAAATTCCTGGATACTTCTGAAAAATTAGCACGGAAACAAGAAACATGTTGACAATTTCTCTCGTGCAGTCATCTACGCCATGTCAATGCTGCCTGATTCCTCAAAAGTCAGCATTGTCAGAATAATTGACCTGACTTATTAAACTGTCCGTCTTACAATAGAACAATTTCGGAAACAGGATCCAACAACCTTTCAAAACGTACGAAAGAAAGTAAAGAAGGATCTCTCGAATCTCTTTTCGCCGGAAGCATCTCCAATCGTTAGCAATTCTTCTTCAAACACTTGCGATGGTTGGTATTTTATTTTACACGATGACATCATCGAAGCACAAGCCAGAAGAACTCCAGATTTTTTTTTCACCCGCCCAGAAGCCCGTTTATTGATTTGAGCAAAAATATTTGAACGGAATGGGTTCATGACCTGTTAAAAAGTGAAATAAGGAATGGTTGAAGTTAGGTTGCTAAGATGAGTTGGGATTTGGCACTTCAATATTCTGTTGTACTGGTCACAGTCCATTAAAAAAAAAAGGCACAAACTCCTCAAACAACGTCTTTTATTAAGAAATATATTCCGTTATGTAAGCTTTAATCCAGGTTCTGACTTTCTGGGCGAGAAAAATAGGCCTTTTAGTTGGAAACCATTGGGATAATTAGGAATAAAAAGGGATATCAATTTAGTTTGCCTGGCTCGCTCAATGATATCAATGTTCTCAACAGATCGGATATCTTTGATAGGTATACGGACGGAAGCGGTCCCGATGTCAAGTTCAACATTGGTGACGAAGAGTTCAATTTGGGGTATTATCTTGGTGCCGGGATATACCCCAATTATGCGAACATTGTGAAGACGTATTCCGTCCCTAGACCTGGCGCCGAAGCGGTAACTATTGTTTCTACTGGCAATACTTAGTATTTCCGTTATAAACCGACTCTTCCTCTTAAATAGAACTTTGCCAAAACATAAGAAGCATGTCGAAAGGATGTGGAGAGAGCTTTGGATTGTTGCAGACTCGATTTGCCTCTATGAGAAATTCGAGAGATAAAACATCGAATTAAGAATAAAATAAAGAAATTTGACGAAGTAAAATCATCAAACGGCAAAAATAAACTAAAGTCTTTATTATACAATAAATTGGGTTTTTTATATACATATTCAGGGCTGGCTGAATATCAATCATTAAAGTGAAACCTGTCAAATATACAATAGGAGTATTGTCAATTAAAGATCCAGAATCTCATGGTACCTTCGAGAATCTTGTTATTGACGAGCAATCCTATCATTGGATGGTATTATCTGGAATAAATGTATAACTATTGTTTTCTATATATTTATGAGTAATCAATGCGTAGTAAATAGAGTGTAATAGCATGTATTTGATTTAAAAAGTAATGCAATAATGATTTATAGAAAGGTTATGAAATAAGAAAGAAAGAATTGATGAAGAGTTATACATATCTGTATATAAGCTCGATCACAACACATTATCAGTAATCCTGCAAGACTATGGAAAAATGGTGATCTTGATACGATCATGAAAGCATGTATCATTATACACAACATGACTGTTGGGGATGAGCGCGACGAAAGCGATATGGGATCGTACAGATACCATCAAATGCATTCTGCTAATCCTGCTGAGGCTGCTGACATTTCTCGTGATCGTTCACATTATAGCTTCAGTAACTTTTTGGAACGTCATGGTCATATCATAGACTCATCTGAGTATATCAGATTGAAAGCTGCCCTGGTGTCCTATCTTTGGCACATAAACGGATTTGGAAGCTCCTCAAACAGAAATGAAAAAAGACATAATAAAATTAAATAAAATCGATTAAAAAAGAAACCAAAAGATTTATTGTTCTCTGGCAAGTCTTGCCTTTCTTGATCTTTCTCGAGATCGCTCTAAGGCTTTTTTACGATTAAGCTTAGAATAAAGCAAAGCCGTCTCGTCTCCCTCAAAATCCTTCAAGTTAATCATGAACAAGGCGTCATCTCTTTCTCGTTCACGTTGCTCGCGATCTTCTTCCACCTGACGAAGTTGGATCTCACGGGCTTGATCCATCTTTTCAATGACCTTATAAAAGTCCTCGTTTTCTTGGAATTGGATCTTGTCCAATCCATCCAAAAGCCCTTGGTACTTCGTTTCCAAATCGTTATCCTTCTTACTCTTTTTACGTCCAAAAGGACGCGCTGCAACCGATTCGTCACTCATGACATCATCATCGTCATCGACTGCTGCCGGCATACCAGCATCAGTATCAGCATGACTACGTGGAGCGGAAGAGGTAGGCACTTTATACTTCACGACCTTCTGCGTCTTCGCCTGAATTTTGCGATCTCTGCACTTCTAATCACTTTTCCACTTGGGGGCACCATTAAGCTCCTGAAAGCAAGGGAAGTATTTGAATCGAACCTGATACTTTCGCTCAAAAAGCTTGAAGCTATCACCCACCTATTTATAAAAATGTTTGCTCTAGATTCTAATATTTTTGAAACAAATCTAATCATAATTCTTACCTCGTCAGCGGGATCTTTACCACTTGCCTTACGTCGTTCAATTGCAGCGACGACACCACAAAACTCGCTGACCAAAGCAGAAACAACTCTCCAGTGGTCTTTCAAATTTGTTTTCGTTCTTTCTGGTCAGGCTCGGTTGCCGGCAGCCTTATAGTCGTAAAGAACACACTACCAAAAAACAGATGATTTAATCGAATTTCCTTCGATAGGTCTTTCCGAGACGGCCACACAAGATTTACACATCTGGACGTCTTGAGTAGTCGTCCAGGCATGACGCTGCTTAGGCGCAATGGAAAGAGCTTCGCTTTGCTCCGCGACATCACTCTCATCGCATTCATTGTCACATGAGTAGTCCATGACGTTGGTGCTGCCATCGTCCTTGACCAACTGTTCATCGTCAACATTGATGTTGCCAAGAATCATGTCCAAGTTACCTTGGTCGTTGTCAGAGTCGTACATATTGTTCAATTCTTTGAGTTAATTTTTTTAAAAAGGGGTAATTTTTTCATTGTCAACGACGAAATTTTTTTTTTTTGACATTAAAAAATCTGTTACTTTAGCGAAATTTTAAAGTTTTTTTTAAATTTTGGTTAGATAAAACAACTTAAAGCCCATTGCTGGGGGTGAAAAAACTACTATTTTGCGCTTATATAACCGAAAAATGGATTTTAAGCGCCACTGCTGGGGATGCTCTTACGGATTATATATGGGAATTATATTATTATTGTTTGGTTTTGATTCTCATTAATCTGTTACTTATGTATCAGCTATTGAGAATTTTTAATTAATAATTTGAGCCAATCAATATAAGAAAGTCTTGTTAGACTTACGACCATGTAATTCTAATTGTCATGTTTCAGAAGATAGAAACAAGCCACTGCTTACTCCTTAACAGATCCAAACTCGCAGATGTTTTATATAAAAACCGTCCTCCCTTTTGCGATGACTTTCTCTCCATAACTTTTATAAAGGATTAATAGAGACTCATTTCTTATTACTTCTTTTTTATTCTGTTTTATATATTTTAATATCTTAAGCATCACATTCTCTGCTATTTTCATGCGGTGAACGATTTGCATAACATACGTTTTAAACTTTGGTTATTTGTCGGGTGTGTGTCTAGCTTTGTTACATATTATGGCACCTATTATTAAATGACATTATTGGCATGTTTTTGATGCACTAACGTATCTTGACAATTCATTATAGTTCCATGCCTCTCCAAAGTACCTAGCTATCGACAATCTAAGGCGAAAGATGCAACATCAATTTCCAGTGTACTGTGAAAGTAATTTAACAATTAATAACAAAACAGTTCTGCCTGTGGTGACCTAACAAAGCTATAGTCATATTAGAGCTAACAAAGTTTTATCCATGCTGATACCTGTTGTGTTTTGAGGTAAGTAAAATTATAAGGCAGTATATAAGTAATTTGAGACTGTTTATAAGATTGTCTTTATTATGAAATAAAATGAACAAGTATTTATATAAAAAAGACTATCTGCTGTACCACTA